TAGAGACAGATAATGACAGTCTAATTTACCATCACCATCAGAGATGCATGTACAGAACGGCGCATAGGCCATAAACTGTAGCTGGAGGCAAGAGTGCTGGAACAGACCTGATCAGCACTGTGTGGAGGTGGTAGGAGGGATGTTGGGGGCTGAAGGGGTTGCAGGGCATTAATTTGCTTTACAGATAATGCCATCTTATTTATCACGAGCTAATCCTGATAGCGTTTTGATGCCGTATTTTGGTATTTTTGGATGTTTATTTGTGTTTTTTTGTTGTGGGTTAGAGTGATGAAATGCAGCTGTGCTGAACTAATGGAGATTTAGTGTATTAATAGGTCACATATTTTTCTGATATTGTCACAGAATTGAATGTGTGTTTTCATACTGTGCTTTCTCACACACAGCATCACTTCATCACACTATAAAAACATCAGGTCTAGTCATTTAGGCAAAAAATAGAGTGAAATACAAATGCTTCTTGTCATTGTATTGTTAGTTTAAAGACAAGATATAAACAGGATAAACACTCATAAAATGATATTTTCTTAAAATTTGTAGATTTTTAAATTTGCTTTATCTCAGTAGAAGATTGCTATGATTATTTTAAGGCTAGATTTGGGAATATGGGTAATTTAATGAGTTGTGCATTAGAAGAAAATACAGCAGGGTACAGAGTAGCAAGAACTGCCGGAATATTTCCTGACTGTTTAACGCAGAATAGCTCTCCAGTCTCTTTACTTCATCTCCAGCCAATCCTCCTCCATTCACCTTTCTTATTAAGTTTATTAAAGCCAGTCCACATACTGGATTTTTCAGGTCCACTTCCTTTTACCATTCATTACAGTACCTTATCCTGGCAGGCAATTTGAAGTGTGCTCTGAATAGTCCATTATGCACATATGAAGGCCATCACGGCCCCAGTATTGGTCAATTCATCAAACATTTATCTGTTGCCCTCTGAACAGGACGTCAGTATGCCTGTCACTCTGCAGCGCGGCCCTCCGTTTAGAATAACACTGCAGTGCTTTTCTACACTACTGTAACCTCTGAGAGGACATCAGCTCTTGAACTGCGGGATGCAGCTGTGAGGGCTCTCTGGCTTTTCATAGCGTGTGTGTGTGTGCTTTTTAATCTACATTAGACTCAGGAACTTTTTAAGTATTATAGCGCTAGCTGCAGGGATGTCGCCTCTCTGATCTCTATCACCGTAATAGGCAACGCTTTGAGGTTCTTTGGCATTATGGCTCTGTAACGTATAGCTTTAGCAAACTCCACATTTAACCTCTTCAGTGTTTCCAAAAAATTCCCAACAATGATTCATTTGGGCAACAGTTCCAAAAGCAGCAGACATAAGAAGGACGGCTGTGTAACACATGTAAAAGAGCCAAGGCTGCTGTTCTTCATTTTTCATGTGTTGCCTGAGGATATCCAACATGACACTTGTGCACACCATTGGCAGGAGTGACTGACATTTCAGCCAATAATGGTCGAGAGTTTTCTTCCCTCTGTTGTCAGCAGTGGTTTATCAATCACTATGTCTGCATCAGTATTAGTGTATTGATCTTGCAGGGCTTCTCTCCGGGTCAGTGTCTCCTCTCCAGCGTCCTTGTCTGGTTTTTTTCTACATCCTCTCCTGCTTCCTGTGCTGTGTTTCTACTCCAGCTAAATATTAGCCACTATATCTGCTCTCTGTGTTCAGTAGACTGGATCTTTGCAGATAATGGAGGTTTCAACACATACATGCACTACTTATGTAAGCTCCAAAGCACACAGACTGATGCACACAGGGCTGTATGATGTATGATGGTGGGCTTACACAGGCTAAGTGGTAGTCAAAGCGTAAAGACAGCCCGTGTGAAGTATTAGCTCTGACAATGAGGCTGATCATAATTATCTTAACAAGGAGAGGATTCATCGCCTCACCTCGTTAAAGCTACCGCTTCTCTCTCTCTGTCTGCCTCACTCTCCCTTCTGCTAGGCAGAGGTTTAAGAAAATGCAATTTGATCACACATTGCTGTAGAAATCTTATTTTTCCCAATAAGTACAGAGGTGATGCAATATGATGTGAGCAAATTATTATTTGTATAACTTATTCAAGAAAGGGGTTCGTTTTTTTTGAGTTGTACATGAGCATTAGTGTCAAGCAGTTTCATCACAATAGCAGAAATGTGAAACCTAAAGAAATGACATTTACCATTTCAGTGAAACTCTAGAATAAAGATTACTGAATGTTTTTATGATCGTGGTTATCACATACATTTCTAAAGCTGCGGGATTGAATGAAAATACATTACAGCATTGTAAAACTGTGTTTTTTATGTATATTTACCGTAAAATGTGTTTGTGTTTTGCCTGTGTTTGCCGTTTACCAAATAGCATTGGGACCGGAGTCAGTTATGCTCATTAGTTTTGTTAAAAGCAAAACCCTTTTTTTTTTTCTTCTCTCCCCCATTTTTTTTTTTTTTTAGGAGCCAAAGTACTTTAACTGCACTGCTTAAACTTTGTTAGTTTTCCAAGCCGCACATTAAAACAAGAAAGCTTATAAAAAGTAATGAAACCGAGTGTGGAAGTCTGCAGAGGGAGCACGGCAAACTGGAGAGTATTAGAAGTTCAATCCCTGCACTGTAGCTAATGCTGGATGGGACTCAGTGGCTCTCCCCTGGCTGTGAATTTAACTGATTAAATCAGCCAGTGCACGCAGTAGTGGTGACATGAAAACAACAATTAATAAGGCTCCCCCCTGTGCCATGCGGCTCCCTTTAACCGAGCAGCTAATAACATAACCCACAGGACTGCAGCCCAACATACACACACACACACACACAGACTCATACGCTCATACACAGGTGGCAATAGTTCGTTAGGAGCCTCTGTTCACAGTAAATGAAATAACGCTTATCCAATGTGGTGCGGGATTGTGCCTAACTACACATTAACAAAGATTATACTCGCAGATTAATTGCACGTTGTACTGAATTCCCTGTCAGTGCAAACACAGCAACTGGGCTGGAAAAAAAATACAAATAGCATTTCTTGTTTGTTGCTTTAGAGCCAGAAGTCTAGTCATAAGTTCTAATATGGACTAACTAGAATTTGCAGCAGTAAATTGACCAGAATAAAGAATAAAATTAATTCTTCTATGTGAATTGTGTAATTTCCATCCGTGTACGCTGTAGCTGATAGGCCTCTTTGCTTTCGTAATTGAGAGTCCCACTGTGGTAAAAAAACACAAGCAAGACAGAGAATTTCATAAAACTGGCACATCTCTCCATTCATCCATCTTGCCAGTGCATTAATCAGACCCGATAAGAGGTTGTCAGCTAGCAGCTTTGCCAGCACACAGGCTAGGTGCTGTCAGCTGGTATCAAGTGTCTACGTGTGTGTGTGTGTGTGTTTGCAAAATGTTGATGTCTTAAAATAAGGCTGCTCCGTCTGCCTCATTCGCAAGTCAACAATGAATTTGCTGATTTGCTCTTTTCCACCCGAGAAGATAGTTGCAACACTTTGCTTTGTAGATCAAAGTTTGCTGGCGGTACGTCCGCCGTGTGTGCCTGTATGAGCTTTTGGATCGGCGACTACGTCAAAGTAAGCTGATTGAAAAGCACAAGAGAAACAAAACAGACAAGACTAAAGGTGTGTAATTAAAGTACACTTGTAGGGTGTCTAGTCAGTGACCATTCAGTCTTGATAGCTTCATAGTGTATTTTTTGTGCTGTACAATGTACTTCAGCTACTCATCTTTTTTTTATTACTTCATATTGCTTTGCCAGCATCTTTTCCGCAAATGTTGCTATATATTATACATTGCTCCCCAACACACTGTACACTGGTTCTTCCCATCCATATGCACAAATTGTGATCCGAGTTGGTGCACACAAGGCAATCATTGATACCAGACAGATCCAGGGAGGTGCAATAGTTCATTCAGACATCATGCATTCTCAGTTTGTCATATAGCAATGTGACATCATTCAATGAAATGTGTTTTTATATATTGTCAGAGTCATTTGTCTGCTGTTACTTTAAGCATACAATATTCAGAACGAAGGATTTTTGAAAATGTAGAGTTTGGAATAAATAAATAGTATAGTCAGACATGCTTAATAATTAAAAATCCCATGTTAAATTAACAATGCCTATTATGTGAACTGTAAGAGGTCTTGAGAAGTACACCGTCTGCGCTCTGTCAGATTGAATTGTTTTGAAGTCACCCAGGACACTTTAACATGGCACGCTGACAGTGTGAAGGATTAGACGACGCAACACATTGCCTTTGTGCGGCTTCTGCGACTTGAACTTTGCAGGGCCCCAACATTACTTCTAACACCACCCTCCGTCATTTTTATGCCTGTGTGAATGTGGGTATGTGTGTGTGTGAGAGACGGAAAGGAAAAGGAGTTGAGATGACCCTTCACCTCTCTTTGCAATGTGTCATAAAAAAAAAAGGAGCGGAAAGGCAACATGCTTCGCTTAAAAAAAAAAAATCCTTTGATGTTAAAATCCCAACACTAACCCCTATCATGGCACAGTTACAAAAAAAAAAAAAGTTTCCCGTCCATTCCGTCTGTGATTGTGAGTGTATTCCGGTTGCTCTGTGAAAATGATGGATGACAAGTTAAATTTGTGTCTGGGGAGTGAAGGTGAACTGTGACAGAGTGATTTGTCTTGGGAATGGAGGGTTAGGGTCAGGCGAAACTGGGCGCCTCAAGGCACAAGACATTGACAAATTCATCCTGCCCGCCGCATTTCTGAAGCCTTTTGTTTTGAATCCTGGCTACTCACAAGTGACCCCCATCCCTCATCCTGCCAGCCGCTGAAGGATGCCTCACCATGCCAGGGGAGCTCAGCACCACTAATTCTTGTCATTCACTTCTCTGACAGGCCCAGACCCATACTCTCCTGGCGTATGAAAGAGAGAGGCTGAAATATTTATTTCTGCACAATAACGGCTGACCAGATTTAGAGCCATAACAGTTTTCCTGTTTCCTTATCATTGCAGGTCACTGGCAGGCCTCAAAATGTTCACTGAGCTGGAAGAGCTGGTCGTCGACAACAATCTGCTTGGAAATGACCTCCAGTTGCCCAGGTTACCCAACCTCCACACCCTGACACTCAATAAGAACCAAATATCCTTTCAGAGGAAATCACTCACTCCCTCTCTTATTTTGATTTGCAGCCTACTATGCAGACATAAATTACAGGCATCAGTATCTGAATCAACAGTTTATCCTGCTTTCAGTCTTATGTCAATACAATCCTCTATTGTCTCAAAGTTTGTAATGCTGTGGCTTTGCAGAAAACACTGTGTTGCAAAAGAGAGGAGAAGAACTTGGCTGTCACTGAGCTCCACACAGGAGGAGTTTTTGAGCCACAGGGACCTCTAGTGGAATCAGATTTTACAGTCAGCATATCTTCTTTTTTTTTTAAAGAGAATAAAAAGTATTGGATTAAAACCGCATCCCAAGAATGAAAGATTATATATATGCAGTTTGTTTAGTGTTGGTTATATCTTTATGTATTAATTTATTTATTGGAGAAAAAAAATGTGGTTTTTTTGTTATATGTGTGTCCGATGCATTCTGCTTTATTACAGTTTCCCTGCATCAGGTATTTATTTAGTCGCTAACCACGCAAAAGCACGCTCACACTGTGATTATAACACTCCAGGCTTCTGCTTGCCATCCATTGTAAACAATCTTAAAACCAGAGCTCTGCACAGCACACCCTAAATTTAAGACACAGACACATTGCGAGGCTGTTTATGATCAGTCAGAGAAGTGTGAACTTCCCCTCGAAGCTTCAGAACAGGTTTAGCAATGTGTCCTGTTTTCCTCTGGTTATGCAGATCCTACCGGGTAACGATGCTCGCTCTCTCCCTCTCACACATTTTCACACACACACACACACACACACACACATGCACTTCCAGAGTCAACATTAAAACTGGGACTCCTTGAAGTGTGCATCTGGGACTGTGTGCTGAGTTTGGTTGTGAAGTGGTCGGCACATGCTAATAGGCCAATTATGTACATCCTGTCGTGGCACAGTGCCATTTTAAAGCTCGAGCACTGCATTAGTGCAGTTGTATTTTGACACTTTGGGGCTCAATTTTCCAAGTGAATGTATTAGTGATGAATGTGCCTGCTTAGAGGCTGTTTGTTTTTTCCACGTTTCGCAAAAGTTTTCCACAGCACAGCTCTGAGAAGCACGGACTGTTTGAACCACAGGGCATCCATCATTTTGTCACTGTTCTGCACCCGGCCACCTAGGAAATGAAAGAGATCGAGAGAAAGAGAGAGAGCAGGAGCCAAATTGTGTCACTACTTTATGCCAAAGCCTGCACCTTAAATTGCCCCTCTGTCTGCCCAGTCTCACAAAGCCACTGACTAGCCTCTTTGAGCACCTCGGTAAATTTGACAGTGACGTGTTTTAGTGCAGACAGGCCTGGGAGGGGCTGTGTGGGTAGTAAATGCTAATGTAATTAACAGCGCTAGGTCCTTGACATCCGCCCTTTGACACCTGACTGATATCGAGGCCCTGCTGGAACACTTGGCTGATGTGACCCCGTCACTCGAGTACCTAAGCCTGCTGGGAAACGAGGCTTGCCCCAACCAGCTGGTCAGCCCGGATAAGGACGAGGACGACTACCAGAGATACAGGTCCGTAACTACTTGTGATGACGCCACAATGATACAACTGGATGAACGTGTGGGTAGATGGATAAATAGATAATGTTCTGTGTGTGTGTTTACATTTTTATTCAGACAGTTTTGATGCTAGCCCATTCAGAGTGATAGCTTTTTATAAGTAATGGATTTGGAGATGTTCCTTTTCTTTAACAACCAGCTCCTGCATTTCATAAGCAGACTGCGGATTCAACCACATCACTCTAAAAGCTTTGTCAACTGGCCCCTCTACACTCCAGTTTGCAAAATGGATTTCATGTGTGACTAGTCACCACCACAAATGAGTGTTTACTACCCTGCCTTACCAGAGCAGATGATGCATTAAACATCAAGCCCGGCCTCAAGCCATGCAATATGACCACCATTTGTCAGGGTCCTTTACATGAAATGCGATAAAAGGCGAAAAGCATACTCTCTTTTGTCTGTTTTAGCCCTAAGTGCTTGTTTCTGACTCTGTGTTGCCTATTAATCATTTACCACCCATGCCTTTCTTGAATAATCTTTCTTCTCCCTTTTTGTCTCCCTTTCTCCCCCCCCTCCCTCCTCCTCGCTCTTACTTTCCCTCCCCTTCTCCCCTTTTCTCTCCTTCTCCCCCCCTTTCCCCTCTTCTCGCATGCTTATCTTACTGGTGAGGAAAGCTGTTCTGTTTTGACTGACAACGTCTACGGTCCTGTAATGTAATATTCATAATGTGTCACATAGTAAAACATCAATTTGAGCGTGATGCAGATTTCATGTCTGACAAGGTTAGGCTGTATGCAGGTCGTGACAGCACTGGCCTTGGGCAATAAATACCCAGCCCAATGCCTCAGGAGCTTTCGGTCTCTCAAGTGAAATACCCTGGTGCACTGCATCGGTGCCCCAATTAGTGCAGTGACATAGAAATATAGTATTTATTCACACAGTATTGTGTAGTCTGCAGGGAGGTTAAATGTTGTCCCCTTCTTTGATGACTATGTGCTCAGTGGCCATTCGTAGTATTACAATAACACAAGAGTTCAACCTCGTAATATTATGTATTCAATATGGTTGCTGATTATGCAGCTCAAGACACCCACTCCTCATAAGGCTGTCTGGAGATGTTGTGACAATACATGCAACTTGAGCTGTTTTTCTCTTCGCCTCAGTGAATGAATTTTTGTGTGACATTTTAACCTCTTATCTTGTGGAAACTTATCAGTTTGTCCAATCTCCTGTTGTGGCAGATCAAAGAGGAGCCTAAGGTGCCTCAACCACCAGCTGTACTTTGTGTTTGCTTAACCCTTTCTTTTTTTTTTTCTTTTTGCTGTTTGCCATCAATGCAGCTGCATAGAAATTAATCACAGTGGTTAGAAACATTCTTTTTTTATGTCGCTGTACGTAGCAGTAATGCTAAGTATAGTAATTGCCGGGTTACACCGAAATGTGCAGTGTAACTAGTAACTACAGCTGTCACAGTGTTCACTACTTACTGAGGCATTTAAATGGTTCCGAGAGAAAAATTACACAACTGTGTACTACAACTTTGCATTAAAAAAAAATGTATTCAATTGAACTACTTTCAAATAACTACTATTAATCATTTGTGAAACGTTGCCTCATCCACCTCCCACTGTAGCTACATCCACACTTATACGTTTTCATATTAACCCTTTATAGGGCACTGCTTGGAATACTTGGAAAAATGAACATTTCAACCCTAGTGTGTTGTTGAAGGATATTTCAAGATATTTTAACTGTTGTGACGTTAAAAAAATAAATAAATGTTGCAAATCAAGATTAATAAAGTTGACATATATGGTAACTTGCCCGTCTACGGTTAAAAAGAACAAACTGCAAAATTCATTTATTTAGAAACATTTTAGTTTGAGGTAATGATACTTACACAACCAGTAACAAAGTATTCATAAAGTGCTTGGCAAGTTCATTTAGTAACATTTTTCTTGGGGTAGTGGTATTTGTGGCACTAATCTCAAAAAATAAATCAATGCAAACCAGTAACAAAGTGTTTAAAAAAGTGCCTGGAACGTTTGTTTAGTGACATTTGTTTGTAAGGTAGTGATATTAGCACTAACATGAGAACCTAATGTGCACATGGTTCTTCAACCTCAAGGAGAGGCACAGGGTGGACATATTGAATGTCCAAGGAAGTTACCAAATAAGGTCACTTGCCCCATAAAGGGTTAACACAAAATAATCTCAGGCTAAGCAAGTGTTTCAGCCCCGTTCCAGAAGTAATCACAATGCAAACGAACATGCCTGAATATAATTTCACATGAGCGTACCCGTATAGTGGGCAGGCATGCCAATGTAAACAGGATGTTGTATAAAATACCAGCGAGGAAGAACAGCAATGGCCGAAACTAAGACCAGAGATTTCCTTGACTGCACAACAGCTGCTAGCATATTCGCTGTAATTCGTTATCCACGCTGTAGTCAAGCCTGATATTTTTTGCTTTCTTTCCAGAAAACGCTCACATGATAGGAGCGTGATGAATCGGGGAACAACATGTAGTGAAAATTAAGGCCCGGACACAAAGCGAATATGGATTCGTGCGTCATCGTTTCCAAAAGTCTCCGTTTTAGAGGTCCTGATACGTCGGAGTAATGTGGGCTCTGGGCGTAAACACAGCAAATGTTACACCTATTACAATGAAAATGTATCAGTGTAGCCTAAGTGCAGATAAGGTCAGCCGAATAAGATTATAGCTGGAATTTATAGGCAAGATACATAAAATATAGACAATAAACTTTACTTCTTCCGTTTTTTTTTTCTGTAATTTGGACTTAGGGAGTTATCTGACGGAAATTCCTCTGGAAATTACGGATTCATGCTAACTAGCTATGTAATGAAATCATTTGCAGTTCCTGTTGTTAAAAAAAAAAACGTTCTTATTTTCTCTATTATTTGTATCAAATGAGTGGTTTGTCAAAAAAAAAAAATATTGGGAGACTATTAGAAATGATGGAACCTGAAAATCAGTTATTTATTTGAATTAAAATGGTTTTGATTTTAGTTTTGTTACAGAAAAACCACATCCAAGGACAACAAAAGTCATATTTGGTATTTGGTATTGCCTAAATAAAGTACACCCCGTCTTTTTCTTTCTCCCCAGTCAGCCCTTCCCACCACCACACCCCGCCCCGCCCTCCACCCTACCTCCTCCCTCCTGCCTCCGTTGCTTTCTTATCCTCCCTCTGTGGTGGGGTTGAATCATTAATATCCCCACTGGCTGACAGAGCCTTGTCATCTGCTCTGACCCTGTGATAGTAGGTTACCTATGGAGAATAACCTCTCTGCATGTCTCCCAAGGGCATCTTCACATTTCATCATGGAAATGCCCCGAACAAAGTCCTTTTACATGGAGGGAGACACAGGATGGGGATGAGGGGCCTCTTGGATTTGAGTGCTGGTGCTCTCATCAGAAAAAAAGGGGGTCCTTATTGGGGTTAGGAGCAGGTCATTCTACCGATCGTAACGTTCCAATAAGTAGGCGTTTAGGGCCACGTGATATCTGTAGTTTTGCTTTCCTCATCCAGTATGCGCTCTTTTTGCTTTCAAATTATGTTTTTCTTCCTTAATTTTTTTGCATGGAGATCTTTTCTATCCCATGTCAGTCCAAACATGATCCCACAGCCTCCTCCTTATTATCCTCAGGTGTTGAAAACTTGACACAGGCTTTGCCATCTCCCCTCATCGCCATCACCATCATCAATTTGTCACGGCTCTTTGCGCACAGGTCTTGTTTGTGCCCATATCCACCCCCCACCCCACCCCCCCTGTCCTTTCTCACCCTCCACTTAGGTGCTGCATGCGTGTCCTTTTTGGCTACCAGCTCAGCCCTGACATACTGGTTCCTCTATCCCTGCCTGCCTGTGAAAGGATCTGTTGTCATCTATGTATTCCAGCCATTATCTTTTGACGTTTCTCTCCCTCCCAATGAAAGACAGAGTGTGTCTGAAAGCTTAGAGAGATATCTGTGATGCTACCAGAATGACAGCTCTGGCAGACGGGTTGTATCTTCTTTCGTGCTATTTATATGTCATACTTTTTTTTTTTCTTTTTTCTTATCAGCTTTGAAGGTTATTACATACAAGAAAATATCACCATTAAATCTGCATCACCATTAAATCTCGGTAAACATGGCTTCTTTTCAAGTTTAGCTGATGCGTGCATTTACATATTAGAATTTGTGTCAGTTTGATTAGTGTATCACGGTTTACACACTTTCTCAGATTCTCTGTTTTGTCGCTGTTGTCAAGAAGCGACCCACGAGGAGGCCTTTCGAGGCGGCAGCGTTGCCACAGCTGAATTGTTTCCTTTCTCACAGGTACTTTGTTCTGTACAAGTTGCCCCAGCTGAAGTTTCTGGACACCAGGAAAGTAACCGGAAAAGAAGTGATAGAGGCGCAGGCGAGAGGAGCGTTCATGAAAGTGGTCAAACCCAAGTCAGAAGCTGTAAGTTAAGCTCTGTTGTTCTTTTTTTTCTGACACTGTTTTAAGTAGTAGTCCCTCTGATGTATTGAGTGGATTTGTCCCATTCATCCCTTTCCTCCCTTTTCCATTCTTCTCCTTGATCCTTCCTTTCTTCCTGTGCATGCTTGACTGTCAGTCTCCCTTTGCAGAGGTCCTACTACTGTGGCCCTTTGAAAAGACTCTGTCTTTCCTACGGCTTAAAGTGTACATGTGTGTTGTGCGTCGGTGCGTGTGTGTAAATGTGTGTGACCACGGCCCTGACCTGATTCCGTATGCATGAGCCCAGATCAAAGACGACGGGCGGCTGTCCAGTCGCACTTGTGTCGCCCAGTGTGACATGGCTGGCGATTGGAGTGACAGCTCACGTACACGGCACGCACAATCGCTTAATTATCTCAAACCCCGTGCATTTATTCTTCCCCGTCTTGTTTTTGGGCCTACGTAGACTAATTACAGTTCGGAGGCTTCATCAGTGTATCACCTCTTTTCATCCCTTTTTTTTTAATCCCCTTATTCCGCCCTCTTTTATAATGCAATATAAATGAACGTCTTTTGCCTATATTTGATTTCATGTAATTGTGAGGTCATGAAATATTTACTGTTTGGATCAGCTTAAGCTTTGCTGTTTCAAGGTCTCATGGGCTCTGACAGTGAGCCTGGGAGGTAAAAATGGATCCAGAGCGGCAAGAGCGAAGGCATCCAATGACAAATCAGAAGCATGTGAGTCGATGTCGGGTTTTAAAGTGCACAAGCAAAAACAAAATATTTATTGTTTCAGACAATCAGATAAGATAGTGTACTCTTTTGGTGTCAGTTCATGCTATGCTTTGTTCTTGATTCTTCATGCAAGTGGCAAGTGAGAAAGCAAAACATTGAAATAATTTAACCTCAGTCTGCCGTGGCTGGTAGATAGAGAAAAGTGGATTGAAAACACTGCTCATCCACTTTATATAAAAAGAAAATAAGGACCTCTACAATGCTTTTTGGCAGGGTAGAGTCACTTTTAAGATTTTATTTACATAGCTTGTCAGCGAAAAAGAAATGTTTGCCTTTGTCGCCACAGCCTTAGATGAAAGGAGAGATAATCACTGATTCTAGCTGACATGACGTGTGTGTTTTTGTGTCTTTGTGTCTTTGAACCTGCTGTATATGATTATTTATTCCCTATGCAAAGTAAAAGGTTACAGCTTTGATGAAAACGCGTCTGCCTAACACAGTATTTTGAGCGCCTGCACACGCTCCTGCTGTCCTATCCGCAGCTCCTTATTAGCAGCATTTGACTGAGTCTACACAATGGAGAGGATTTTTTTTTTTTTTTTGCCGGACATACTCAGCGTCGGGGTCGTGGGATGTCACGGTAGCATTTCCGTGACATTTGTTTTGAGTTAGATGAGACGTGATGTGTCAACTATCGCAGACTTGATGAGCCATGAGTACCTCCCGGCTCTAATTGTCCACATCATCAGAGTGATTGTAAGCTGACCAATAGTGCGGGCCACCAATTAGCGAAACGTCTGCAACAGAAGAGGAAAGTGGGGAGAGATGATGGCATAATTAGATATTTGTGTTTGCTTTTATGTCTGGTACAGCGGGGTGTTGCTCATAACAGTGGCTCATGGTACAGTGTCTGCCATTAGCTTCATTACAAAGGATGGTAATTAGCTGTCTCACTGTCGCTTCCACTACCATTTGAGTCTCAATTAGTGCAAGTATCGGAGGGAAAAAAAAAACGCTACGCCACAAATGTAATTTAAGACCTTCATTTCTGACATTTTTTTTTGACTTGAGGTGGATCCTTTTTCTCTTTGTGTTTAGTTACGTCTCCTATGTCACCTTATATGACAACTCGTCTTCCTACCGTGGATAAATTGAAACCATAGTAACAAGCAGAAACTGCAGCAGAGTTACAGTCGTACATGCCCACTCATGACAGCATAAATTTGAATAAAGAGCCCCTTCTCCATCAGATCATTCTCACTGCATGATGTATATATTGGAATAGTTTATGGGCTCGCTTTGAGAGAGACAGTGCTGAACTTTTGAGACCTCTCTTGAGTCATATTAGAGTGGAGTATGACCACAGCTTAAACTCCTTTTCAATCATGCCATTATGGCATGGCACTGAGCGACGCCACATGGTTCTGATAAAACAGTTATGGTCTTTAGCACAATCTGAACACCATAACTTTTCATACATTCCCAATGTTTTCCATGTTGCCTAAATTACAACCAGGCAGTCAACGGGCGGTTGTGTTCAGGAAAAGGCCGACGCATGTACCGATGATGAGACTTGCGAGCGCAGAATTCATTAAAAAAGCCTTAACGGTTCATGTATATTTTCATGTCACAACCTTCATTTCAGGGACACATTCTGACACAGAAGAAAACAAAGATTCGTGATCAAATGAAATGGCCGATTTTAATTGTGTATCTTGTGACCATTACGCTCTAAGTGGGTGACAATGAGTTGTGTCTAACTTGTCTGTTTCAGTGCCTTCAAGTAGCAGAGGGATAATTTTCACCTTTGGGCTTTTGTCAAATTGAATTTCTGCGTAAAGGACATGCATTTGGACAAAAACAGACAAAGATGAGGCAGAGAGGGAAATGTATAAATACCTGAAGTAAACAAAAAACACAGCAGGGACGATTGAAGTGTTTTCCCCAAAACCACAACACTAAGCAGAGTCAGAGTGGAAAAGCCTTGAGCCGTATTTTGGGAAATTGGGCGTGTTGGAATGCTATAATGTGATAATTCTCTTTGAGGACTTAGAGGTCATGGAATGAAATGGCGTTAAACCACGTAGAGCCATTTGGACTGCGTTGGGCTGCTTTCGGAAAATACATGTGGTACTTTTTGGCTCGGTTCCTCCACCTCCCTCCGCTCTGCCGTGGAGCCCACATTATGCTGTCGAGCCCTTGGGTTAAACTGGCCATGTCTATCAAAACACTGTGACAGCACATTCTGTTTTCAGATCCGAAGCACGGTTTAAAAAAAAAAAAAAAAAAAAGTGCGTAGCAAATTTAACTAGTAGAATAACATTTACTCTTTGCCACATGTTTAAGAGTGTTTCACAGTGAATGAAGTAACTCCATGGTCCCCCTCACTAAGCACAGCTTGGTAGCTACGTCAGCGGGTATAAATGTTCCTCGGATGTCACTTAGATTATGCCTGGATGAAGTATTTGACTTGATTTTCTAGCATGAACACAAGTTTTTCTTTTTTTTTTTTTCTTCCCCCCACATCCTTTTGCGTATAATGTAAAGCAGACTGCATTGCAGGGTGGCTTGAGCCAGTTCCTGGGTCCCATGAGTCTCCGCACACAGGGTAACGGTTCTTCAAGGGAATTGACAGTGACAGAGCCAGGAAAGTCCTCAAGTGGATCTTTTCAGTTCTGTTTTTTCTTCCCCAGACACTAACCTGTTTTACTCTGCAGCAGACAGCGGTTCATTTTAAGTTTGCACTGAAGGGAGCAGTCCAAATCTAAGATAGACTGCACGGGTTCAGAGCCATGATTGTGCATTATGTGATGCATGATTGTGGCTTTTTTTTTTTTTTGCAATGCAACTCTGGAAGGAGAGGAGGCATTTTGCTTTAGGTTGGTTGTTTTGCTTCCTCAAATGTACCCTGTAAAGTATGTTGCCACGTTCATCTCTGCGCTCCAGAGTTATGAGTTCCCCGAAGCTCTCAAACATAACAAACAGCATGCAATATAGCGCTTTGTGAATGTGCCTTCAGTGGGTTTGCTGAATCATTTTACTGAACAAATGTGTCCTCGGAGAAAACTCAAAGAATATGGTTCTCAACAGGGGAAGGGAATATAACCCAACAGATTGCTGTGGAAGCAAGTTTATTACCAGTCTTCACTCGCTGATAGATTCTGTATTTGCACCGGCTATTATACATACAGAACCCTGATTTGTCACCTTTCTTTCACGGCACATCCTTGAATCAATAATATACAGTAGGTTGTATAAGGACAACACTGCGGATTGAGTAGGAGTTGTGGGCAAAATAAAACCACACTAAGTGCCTGTCTGCTTTATGTTCAGACAAATAAACTCACTGACAGATTGTGATCTGCTTGCCTTCAAATTACGTTCTCTTCCCCATCTTACATAATGTCTTGTTATCTGTTAATTGCATCACTTGAGACACTGCTGTTCTCTGTCTTTTAATGATAACATATCCTAAATGTTAAAACAGCTGTTTATAATTGTTTGGACGTGTTTAGTTTGTATGATAGACGAAACACACTGCGTGTTTGTGTCAGACATTTCCAAGGAGCCACATGTTCATTCTCTTAGGTATGTGTATTTGCCTGTCAGTATCTGAGTGAGTGGTGAATGCCTCCATGTGAGTATTTCTCTGTTGCTGATTTCTAACTGCTGAAGTATGAGCGTGTCCAGAGTTTGGAGCGGCGCAACAAGCTCGATTCGGAGCGCTGGCAGCTTACATTGAGAGGTCATGCAGGGGTTATAAACCGGGAAAACAACTGCAATTAGAGGGAGTGACTCACACTGTCCACATAAATCATCCAGGGCCTGCATATCATAAACACACTGTAAAACTTTAAAGCACAATTAATTGTAAGCAAGAGTGCCAATATTGACTTACTGCCTCTTTCAAAGCCCGGAGACACGGGATACGTGACCCCGAGTGTCACGTCACTCTCCCAATGATAGATGCGTTCTTCATTTTTTTGGCGAAACGCGGAACATAAAAACAAACATGTGTTTTTGTAGGGGGCTTTTATGAGACACTGAAGTGGCCCCGTTGCATTAACTGATTTTCCTCTCCTTCTGCTGGCATCCAGTACAGAGAAGGAACGCCTCTGCGGCGAAGCATTTGTTGTCTCGGTGTCTCTTGTGTTTAACGGTGGAGTTTGAGGCCTGTCAGAAAACAGGCCAAGGCTGGGCAGCAATAATGAGACGTCTTCCTCTCCCATTTTGATCTAAAGTTTTCATAAACTTTGACAAATCAT